TACTCAGCTATTAAGTTCTATCATCTTTACTAGTTATGTTTAAGCAAACTACATTCTCATCTGTTCTGTGTGTGTGTGTGTGTGTCAGTCCCTGCACGTGTGATTCTGTGTGTGTGTGTGTGTGAGTAAAGGAGAACTTCTACTAGATGATTTTAGAACTAGTTATGTTCAATATTCTATTTAACTAAGTAATTCAATTCAAAGTAACTGATTAATATTTAAATGATTGTAAGTTAATTAAAGAAATTTCAAGCTTGATTAAAATAATGATAAAAGATAAAACATGAAATCCAACATTCCCTCTCTTGGTCTATCCTTAAAGATAGACCAACAACCCGTCATAGGCTACAGATATTTCGTCTCAGCCAACTGCAGGTGGTCTTGTCCTGGCGGGGAGGAGTCTTCAATGGCCTGGAGCACAGGGCATGCTGTACCGGTGCTTACCATACCTCCAAATTGTATCATCCGTTCGACTGCCATTTTAGCGCACGGAGCAACACAACCCAATAAGACACAAAACAGAACAAGTATAGCTAGAGGAGGAACTAACAGCTTAAGGAGCACCTGACTCCATGATCCCGTCATCCACCATGACCAGAATCCCTCTGACCCTGCAGGAGGGTCCTCTCCCTTAGCCTTCTGCAGACCCCTCAGTTGTGCCAGGGCCTCGGTCACTCTGCCCTGAGGGTTGGTACTAGTCTCATCAGGGATGTACGTGCAACAAGCCTCCTTACCAATCACTTCACACACCCCACCTCTAGATGCAGTTAATAAATCCAAGACCATCCTGTTTTGCAACACCATCACTCTCAAAGCTGACAATTCCTCAGAGATGCCTTCCAGCGCCTTGATTGTTGAATTTATGAAATTCCAAAACGGTAGTCTAAGGTCTCAACCCTTAAAAGCAGCTTTCCAACGCCCGCCCATGGAAACAATGACAACATGACCTTCTCCCCCACCGTCCAGTGCTTGAAATTCTGTGGCACATCTGAACCCCAAATAGAGTCGTGGGGTTTGATGCCCACGTCCCTTCTTTGCCTAACATAATGAGAACCATTACTTACAGACACTAGAAATGATTCATCTGTGACTGCCACAGGTGCACATATTCCTGTCCAATTACTGGGAAGAGTTAAAAGCACAGTATGTCCGCACAGCCAAGCCAGGTCTTCAACAGGATATGTACCATTACTCCCAGGTACCCCAATCTGACGATTACCAGGGTGATATATTGCCTGGCACTTCTCCGGGGGCAACATGCCCACCGCCACCTGATAAGAATCTTGCCTGTGCTGTCGGTGAACGCAGATGGGAAACTGTTCACCAGGGGTCCACTCCACATACTGGCTCAGCACAACGCCTTGTGCTGCTTGCGTCAGACCGTAGCACTTGGCCTCACATCTGTGCATCCCTCTGCTATGTCCACTGGAGCTGTATTGCAGAAAACAGAATGATAACCCTCTAGCCAGAGGTTTAACACGCAAAGGCAAATGCGCCGCTGTAACAGGAAGTTTGGTGCAGACATAACACTCCGAGTTATGGCGCCCCCTGGCCAAAAACTGAGCATAACGATACCAACTGTTCATCTGGAACGCATGCGACAAATTTAACGGTAATTGATTGAAATCATGGATCGTAGACCACGCTCCCCTCCTAGGTCTCTCTCTCCTGATCTTCACAGAATTGGTGCGACACCGACTTAACCCTGGAATGACACAGGTAAACTCCAGCACCAAAATAAGACAAACCATCAGTACCCCCAGTATTCCACCAGCAGTCAACAGCTTATTTGATATGAGAACCATGATGGCTACGTCCCTGCTGAAAATGAAAATTGATTATACTGTATGAACCTGAGACTTACAATATCAGCTGCAAAACGTCAACTCAGTCCAACCTGCAAGAAATGTAGTAGACACTGTGGAGGGGCTTGGAAACCTGTATGCTACACTTTAATTGAACACCAAAATTATAATTGTTTTATACCCAGGAATCAATCGCTGTAAACCTGTGAAACAAAATTGATTCAAATGCACACACAGTCAAATTAAAAATGTAACCTCCCGAGAGTAACTGTATGTTAAGATTATAACCTGAATGAAATGAAAATGGGTGTATGAACACTTCAAATCAACTTGCAAAAAATGACCACATACACCTGAAAATCACAGTTTTTTTTTTTTTTTTTTTAGAAATTGGATTGTTGAAGCTGCTCCTCAAATTGTACACCCAAGAGCTCTCCTCACTCTGACCACCGCTCCTGAGATCTTCAGAACTGCAGCTGCTCCACTCCTCTTGCTGTTACGTTTCTGCTGCTTTGTATTTCACACAAACATCAACAGAATAAAACTTTGTTGCTCATTTGGTCAGCAGGGGGACTTCATTCCCAACGTTCTGCTGTCTTTTATTTCAGTAACCCCACTGGGTTTAAAATGACGCGTCTTCCAATTTCAAAACTTTCCACTACTGCTCACGTCGCGTCTTCCAATTTACATCTGCTCACGTCGCGTCTTCCAATTTATATCTGCACCCGTCGGGTCTTCCAATTTATATCTGCACCCGTCGGGTCTTCCAATCAGCTGAGAGCAAGTGCTCACTTATCAGTTGACTTCCCTCTCTTGCAGGTTAGACGCTCGCTCCTGACGT